GCGGTGCTCGTAGCTCATGGCCGCCCGGCAGCCGGCTCGCAGCGCCGCCACCGCCCGCCTCATCCGCCGCCTCACTTCCGCCCGCCGCCCCGCCCCGATCCGCCGTGCGCCACCGCGCCCCGCCTCTCGTACCACAGGTTCGAGTCCCGCGCCCGCCTCAAACCACAGCTGGGAGCAACGCAGAATGGCGATTAAATAATGTAATACAGTCACTGCAGGATGTCACTGCACTTCATCCTGCATTAATACCTCATCTTGCCTCAACATTCAGACCCAATATTTGATTTCCCTTCCCGAGGCTGCAAATAAGACTTTAAGGAAACATTAAATGTTGTTCTCCATCATTACATAGGGGTTATTACTCTTTCGGTGTACCCAAAAGATGGGTATTCCTAGTGTTTCTTTTTTAAATAGAATATACAAATGTAAATAGCTACCAGTTCTGGGTCTGCTGGCTGATCGCTGCTGTATGTGGTATACTTTGTCCACGTTCTCTGGAGTGTTAAATGAAACCTATGAAATTATTCACCAAATTATTACTCTTTCAACAGTTTAATTAATGTTCTTTTTGTTTCCTTGAACACCATTGTGCAGCTATAAATGCTTCTTCAATCTCATTTCTTTACATATTCTTTTGCCTTTTCTTCTTTACTGGCATGATTTACATTTGTTTAAAAATTACTAGCATTCAGATCTCTGAAATACAATGTTATGTACAGATTCTCAAACTTCTTTTGGGTAAAGGACTGCTTCTTTCAAAGGAAACTCTTCTCTCTTTTTTTCTGCCTACCTTTTACCTATAGTTAGTCCAACACCTCCCAGTATAAAGAAATAAGAACTAGCTGCTCGAGTTAAAGATCTATATTTTCCTTTTTCCTTTCCCCTCACAAAATGCTTTACGCATCCAAGTAGCCACTTGCCTTGCTGCTAGGCTTATCCTTTTCCATGCTTAAGGGAATGCATGGAATTTGTGGCCACAGGATCTGTGGCCTTAAGACACGCAAACCAAAACCCCATCACCTTGCCACAGCATACATCTGTTGCCTTGTGCTCAGACACCTCAGGTGATGGACCTGAATGACAAGGAGCTCCTATTAGTGACCAAGGCAGTAGGTGGCAGAGGACAGACCTGGCCTGTTCCTCCAAGGATGAAAATGCACTGTGCTGGAGACTGCAGAGCACCGCAGTGTCCTGTACGGATCTACCCACTCACCCACAGCTGGTCTGTACGTCTGCAGAAGGGCACAGCATCACACCATGGTCTTGCACAGGAGGGTTTGTGCAAGAAACATCATGGGGTCTTTTTTTAGTTATATCTACTTTCAGGTACGAGGAAATCTCAGAGAAGCTCAGGTCTTAATTTCAATAAAAAGACAAGTGAGGAATAGAGAGCAAGGTCTCTGAGTCATCAGCACAGTGAGTAGCTGAACTTTGGATGAGGTTACCTGGAGAAAAGAGGGAAAAGGAGAGGACCAAGAACAGAGAGTACAAGGACTGGAGGATCCCGAGGAAGATCATCTGAAAGGCAAATGGAAGGAGCGTGGGAGAGAAATGAGAGAGTTCGGAGGAAATACACTTCTTTACTTCTCCGTTTCTCACCCTGCATCTGCAGCTTAATGCAGTCTGGGGAAGCACACTCCATGGCTTCTTGCGCTCATCATCCTACATAAACTAACAGTCATTTCACAGCATTCTTCAAGTCTCAGAGTGGCAACCAACTAAGCAGTAAAAAAGAGCCAAAGAAAATTAGTGCAAAATAAATAATTCTGAAATCTAAGAAACGTTAAAAGATGCCTTGATGTCACTAGCATACCTATACAGGCCAAACGAGGGAGAAGGGCACAAGTCCATCAGAAAGGCCAGATGAAATAGGATCCCAATGGGAAAACACACCCTGCTGCTCAGCTATGAACTTCCATGTCAGTGGCATGGCACACAAAGGAGCTTGCCTTCCAGGCCTTCTTTAGCCTGTAGGTGAATATAAATTGGGGCAATTATTGTCTTCAGTTCTGTTATTTAGACATACCAGAAGAGGAGACGTGTCTAATGCTAATCTGAAACTAGCAAAGCCTGGAATGAGAGGGCCCCTGGTGACCATCTGTAACACGTGCCACCAGCCAGGCTCTCAGACACTGCTTGACTGAGACACACCGTTGCATCTCGCGTTAGGTTCTGCACGCCTAGGCAAGCTGTCAGAAAGCTGGTTTTGTCTGTTGTATCTCCCTAAGAATATTGATGAAAAATGTTCTAGTGTTACCTTGAATCACTCCAGCGACTTATCAGATTGTTTGATCCAGTATCTCTTCATGATAGTGTATTTGGACACCTAACCAGTGCACACATTTGAAATAAATGGGATTTTAGTGCAAAAGGAAATTTCCAGATGTATGCACGTACCTACTGCATTTCAGCCACGTCTTTTTAACACTGAAAAAAAAAACACACCGTAAAGAAAACATTACAAATTCAAATATTTTTAGTAGATTTGTAGATTTAGATGTTGGAAAGAGAATAAATGTACATCTATTCAGGTATAGATCATTCTAACAAGATATATTTCTTTAAATTATCTCAGTGGTTTGCATATTACTGGGCCTTTTCAACTCCTTTTAACCACTGCTCACATCCACTTCAGTAGCACACTGTCAAGATGTAAAGTAATGTACCTGCACATAATAGTCTCTACGCAGCAGCACGCTCTCAAAAGAGGACAGAAAACAATGTTCTCCTTTCAGTACTTTGAAGTAAGATCCCTTGAAGTCAAATTCCTAACAAGGAAACACGAAACCTGGCAGGTAAACACTGAGGAGGGGGAGACACAATAAAAAAGGATCCCACGTTAGAGCTCTCAATCCAGCAAGTAAATCTTGCTACTGCACACTCACAGCACTGCAGTCAGTTGGACTGTCTCTATGAGTAAAGGTTATTTGTGCAAAGGCTGAAGGTCTTTACAATTAGTTTGTTTTATAAAACACAGAGTGTACAACATACAGGAGTATACAGACACAGGTACTGTAATTCTTGTAGGCGCTGTTGCTGGAGTCTAGAAAAGCAGAATTTATTCTGCTCTGAGACATCTAAATCTGTAAAATTCATTAAGAGAGAGGAACATAACACTCAAACCTCATCTTGGAAATCATTACAGTGATACACACCAGGAAGTGAAATCATGTTCCAGAACCTATGTATCAACCCCAAATCTATAAGGGTAACATAACATATAAGTAACATTTATTATCTTTTTATGAAATTACTGTTACTTTGAAATAGTACGATGCTGTAAGGTATTTTCTATCAAGATTAGTATAGAAAATTTCCATTTCAGTACCTGGCTATATCTTTTATTTCCAGAAGCACAATCTTTTGAGGCATTTGGGATTCTTGGACCTGGCCCTGCTTATTACACTTTTATTTTTCTTGTAACGTTAATGCAATGTTATTCTCAGTGTACATGAGTGCCACTGAAAGGAAACTCTGACTGGATATACTGCTTACCAAAGATCATGTCAAAAATTATTTCTGAGTTTCTTGTTTTCTATCCTTTGCATTATTCAACAGCCCATGTCCTGAGGGGAAGCCCAGGTGCTGATTAAGGTCACATTTTCCAAGGGATTTTTTTTCCATCAGTCGCTGTGGTGTCTGAACAGAGATGAGATCTCTTTCAAGTCACCTTCAAATGTTCATTGACAAACACTTTGCTCTCAAATGTCAAGCTGTCACTGAAATACATTAAAAGGTCAGACAGGGGAAAAACAACAGAGGAGGAAGACTTTTTTTTTCCTTAAAAACTATTATAAAATTCTTGTTTAAAAAATTAAGTCCAAATACATTTCATGAAATGATAAATGAAGACACCTTAACACTTATGCAAATAACCAGGAGCAAATTTTCTCAAACAGCAAGTTTCCTGGTGCTTTGTGCAAGGAGCTGATATCTACTCAATAATTACAACTTGTATTTTTAGACATTTTAAAATGTTTAATGATGTAAGTCATTTAGAGCAAAAAATAAAACAGACATTCGTACATTATCAAATTTACAGATTCATTAAAGAAAATGTTATGTTTTATTATAGCAGCAAGACAACACTCTGCAATTGGGTCAAGGTCAGGGTTGCAGCTATGTGGAATTTTAATATCACCAAATTTTAACCCTTTGTAAATATATCCATCAGAGATTAACATATCAGGACATAAACTTATTAACACAGTCTGAATCACTTTCAGGGAAAAAACAGAACACCTGAGCAATCTGCAGCTGCAATGGAGCACATCCTCCCTCACAACTGTGCTACCTTTATCTGGATCGAGTGTGTCTGTCGCTATAAAGATACGTTTCTGTGCTCCTTCTACAGAACATAAAGATAAGCAACACGTTCAGAGACAGCAGAATGTGTCCTTCTGCTCTCTGGGTATGGATATGGATTTATTCAATAGACTTACCACTAACTGCTCCTTCTACTCTAGTTTCTTGTTAGATCTGAAATATAACAAAGCGTCTCAGTGGAACTAAGGGCCCTGAAGCAGTCTTAAGAGAAAGAACCCTCGTTTTCACCTTGGAAAGGCAGCACACAAAGCACAACTTGCAGAGTGATCCATCTTTATCACAGCAACCTGCAGTCTTCAAACCCCAATTTTCTTCAGCGCTGCATCACTGTCACACCAGCACAGCCCCACTGATCACAACGGCAGGCCTGATTTATGCTGGTGAAGTAGGAAGGGAAGTCGCCTGCTTGTTGTCATGCCTCCATATCGAATGCTGAGTGCAAACAGACACAGGATTTGCCACTTTGGCTCTGTCTGTTAATAACCCATACAGGAATCCTGAATAGGGTTGTGCTTATTTGCCCTTGCACGTTCCCACTAAGTGGAAAACTGCAGACATCTGTCATCACACGTACCACTAGAAATTAAATTTATTCATTAAAGAAGCAGCATAATTTTTAACCAAGCTGCTGAAAGTTCTGGGAGTATATTTACCTCTGTTTAACTGAAATGAATAACAAACTGTCAGAAAGAAGAGCTCTCAGTCAAAATACACTAGCATTTCAAGCATATGCAGTATACTTAATGTAAGACTTTAGAGGTCCATTCTCTGTTTATGCCTTGGCTTGTCTGAATTTGACACAAATTAGAGTATTCACTGATTTAAGGTTGGTTGTAGACTTAGTTCTATGTTCTTTATAAGTAAGTAGGAAGATGGGCTCCTCCTGAGGGTGATACAGGGCAGGAACCTGATGTAGATAACCACACTCACCCTCTTGAAGTCGACATCTGAGTTCAGTCCCTAAGTTTGGCCACCTTGAATAGCTCCTTCCGTCTCTCCTAAGGAGTCACAAATCAGTCATAACCCCAGCTCCTGACTCAGACCTAAAGCATGAGGGTCCATCCAAAGAAGAGTGACAGGTTTACTGACAAAATATATATATCAGAATAAAACATTAGTGTTTTTGCTGTGAGCCATTGAGACTCCTGCAACTCTCTGCAAGGTACACCTGCTCTTGTGGCTGTGTCGAGAGAAGTACTAGCTTCAGACGGGCCTCAAGGAGGGAGGTGACACCGTAAAACTATTCCCTACTTAAGGACAATTCAGACATGAAGAATTATTCAAATTACTTCTGACATCCTAGCTCTTCAAACATTTCAAATGCTGCCTTTATTTGGATTGAGTGCAAATACTCTGTAAGGTTGGCAAACTTCTTAACTTGGTAAGAGATCACAGAGGCAAACAAGGGGATTCTTCAGAGTACAGGCATAAAATTAACCAGTTTGTCACATTTGATCAAAGAAATGTCAAACCATGAGAACACTCTTAAGTTTCACAATGTCATATTTACAAAACGCGCATGCTTACATTTCAGCCACCCATATTCAAAGGTCTATACAATAGCCACTTATATAGGTATTACATATGAATCATGTATAGAGCAGTAGAAAATTAAACGATTTACACATCTTTTAATCCTCTACTTGGTCAACTAAATGAGCTTTTCTTAGGTTTGGGCTACATTTTTTCAGATAAATGTTTCAAGTCTGGCACATCAGTAAGAGCACAACTGCAAGTCAGCCAAAACCGTTGTAACTTCACACCCATGGAGTTCCCTCATTTTCTGCAGGTTCCCACAGACAGACCACCCAATGCCAACAAGCAACCAAAGCTATTTTTTAAGACTTTATTTAAGATTCCTTTTAGAGACAAGTGCTCCTCAAATAAATAGCTATATAAATAACTTGAAATTCACTATGCAAAGCTGTAAAGCACTTAAGTAATTGTTATCCCACCCATATATCATTAAAAGTTTTAATCTATTTAACAGTGTACCCAAACAAAATTAAATAGTATGTTAGGAAAAAACAGTTGACAATATATTTGGTAGGGTGACTTGAGGGAAGAGAAGCAGTATTTGTCAAATCAGTTTAAATGTCTAGATTAAATGCCTTTTAATTGCTGTTGCCATCTTCTTCCCGTTTTCTGTATGCTTTATTCAACATTTGTATTTCTTCCTGATAACCACCTCTTTCCATATGCTGCTTTTTACTATTCTGCCGATGAGCTTCGACAGTGTCTGGAATTGATATGTTAATATCGCTGTCAGGATTGTTTGATGGTATGAAGAGGGAGTAGGAGGCAGTTTCCCCTAGATCACATGAGACAAACCTGTTTTCTTTCCGTGAATAACGTAAGGATGGAGACCTTACCTGTGTGGAGGACTGGCTGATATTACTGATGATTGACACAGTATCCAGGGCCTCTTCATTGTCACAAATTTCAAGAACCTCTAAATGAATTTTTACGTTTGTGTCAGCAAATGTATTAGGAGACTCCTCTGGGTTTGGCTCATGACCAACACTTTTAGAGCGATAGACTTCAATTTTCTTTGATGTGGGTGTTATTTTTTGCCCTTCAGTGCTCACCTCATATGTAGATAAAGACAATGTTTTTCCCGTAGGTGCCTGAAGAGATACAGTTCCTTGAAATGCACACAGAGGGATAGCTAAGGCCCCACCTGATCGCTGAAAAGAGAAAGAATGACCATTATCTAATGTTAATTTTTGAAGTTAAAGTCCATTATAAATAAGCCAAGTTTGTTAACTTATTTTACTGTTGTAGATTTTTCCTTACAGTATTTTAGAAACCTGGTATTTAAATTAACAATATGACTTTTTAAAAGAGCAGAGAGAAGTGTTTTATAATCATACACTTCATTGTAAAAAATGAAGTCCCGCGTGACTGTGACTCAGCTACAGTTTATGGACACAGAAACTTTATCCCAGTAGTCTACAGACTTCCCATTTGATTGCAGCCAGTCCACGAGAAGACAGCCAGTGCCAGCAGGCACCTCTCCAGCTGGTATTAACAGGTACCTCTGAATTTTTTTCACTCTGCTTAATTCAGATCAAGACACTGATCTCCTAAGGCTTTTCATATAGTGATGGAAAGGAAAGAAATGACACCAGAGGATTCTTCAAAACAAAGACCCAACTTTGACAGCATCTGTCTCCCTTGAGCCCTCTAACTTAATTAGGTGCCTGAAGTTAGATGGCTTCACTACCAAGCTAACCTTTCCAAAACAACTTGTCAGATATTATTCAAGGAACCTTTTGTGCATTTTTATTTTTATGGTGGAAATAATGTTAATTCAATGGTACCAGTTGGAAATCTATAATAAGGATTTACAGCACCATTACTCTGATGGCGAGAGCCCATCCAGAACTTCACTCCCAACCACATTTCACAATAGTTCTAGGAGCCAATATGGGATTTTTTCTATAAGAAAATTGAATTTATCAGTAAAAAAAATTTTACACGCTTGAAGGCAGAGAAAGAAAACTCAGCTACAGCTCTGTGCTACTGAAGGTCATGTTCAAACCAAGAATTTTTAGCAGTTGCAGTAAAAATAGTGTTGCAGAGGCTGTAAATAAATAAAGGCATTACACAAAGAAATCCCCGTGAGTGCCTGCACGAAGATCAGAGAACACGATTTGCTCCTATGTGGACTGTGGTATCTAACTGAGTGGAAGGTTGTTACACTTCCCCTCCATAGGGCTGCAGGACAGATCCTGCCTCTTTTTCCTACACTTTAATTTTCAGCTGTGTTGTCCATTTGGTGACTCATGTTGGACAGAACCATAGTGACAGCAGTAGTAGACACACACAGCAAAGAAACATTGGACTCGGGTTCTGGAGAATCTCACAGAAGACTCATCTATTGCTCCATCCTCATCTGCTTTGCTACAGTCAGGCTTTGACTGCTTACTGGGAAGGGCAAGGATTGGCATTTGAAAACTTGCTCTTATTCACTAAAAAATACTATTAAAATGAACCTCAGCTTTGCCAAAAACCTTGGCAAGCAGTAAACGCTGACCTTGGGACAGGGCAGTTCAGGATGAAGGGCAGCACTGGTTTAGAGAGAAATGCACAACACAGAAGACTGCTGAAATTAGGGGAAGCTGTAGAATCGAGCCCTGCACTCACACAGACACTAGGGAGAAGTGTGCACTGAAGCCACTAAAAAGCTGCCAGGTAGCAAGATGAATAACCCTGTAGAGCACTCTGTGTTGCTATGCTGCTTTCCAGATCCATTGATGATCTTTTAAATTGACCTTGATTATCTCCAGACCACATTGTTATGTGAACTCTGACCTTACCCCTATTGCGCTGCAGCTCCCTCTCCAGCTAAGGTGCTTCCCTACCTCCTGGCAGGGCACACCTCATCCTCCCCTGTCCCGTCTCTATATACACACGTACACGCCCACAGAGACCCTCCTTAGTAGCATGTAACTTTCTGGATCATCTGGGCATAAGAAACAATATTACAGCAATCAATGCACGAGGTGAAAAAATGACAAAGTATTGCATAGGTAGAGTAACCAGGGGAAGACAGACAGTTGATTTATCAGGATGGGGCAGTTAAGCAGTTTGGATATCACATTTCTTCCTGTCCACGTAAGGGACATAAATTGAGAAAGGGACACAGCTGCCTAGAAGAGTAGGATATGCCTCTTTGTTTGTGAGTGTTGTGATTAATTTACCTGCACCCAAGAGAAAAACAGCAGAATAACTGGGCTTCAGAAATGACAGGTCTTTCCCAGGCAAGTTACAGGGGGATGCCCTGAGCTTACTCTCAGAAGCAGAAGTGCCAAATATCGTCCTCCTGGGTACTGATTTGCCTTGTGCAAACTGTCTGAATAGAGAGGAAGAAGAAGGAATGACAGAAAGACCAGGTCTTATTAGACTTCAGCAGTACGGAGAAGTGTTAGCATTATTTCAGCACAGAAAGGATCAGTTCTGTTGAATACTTCCTTTCTAGTAGAACTGAGAAAGTGAGTAAAAACAGAGAGATTTAGGATACCAATTGGAAAGGTGAAATTGTTCATAGGGAGCTGGGAAGGGCAATTACTTGCTGATTATTAAAGGAAGCTGTTGTGATGAGATCTTTATTGAATTAGGCACAACTTTACAACACACAGCTAAATCAAGTGCCACATTACCTCACCTTCACTAAAGAGCATGAAAAGGAAATTAGCTTTCATTGCGTAGAACAATCTTGCCAGACTGTGACTTAAGGTCCTCTTCTGACAAAGGAATTTGCCTGACAAAACCCTAGGAGCTGGCTTGCCCTGCTGGAAGGAAATCAAAGTTGTATTAGTCTCCTTAATAGATTTGTCAGAGAAAAATGGTTCTCAAGTGTTCTTCCAACGTGCAGTTACAGAGGCAGCTATTGTGCTGTGTCATCGAGCCAGCAAACGTCCTACATCAGTGAGTGTTAGAGGACAGGAGCTCACTGCCAGCTCCTGGCTGCTGCTTGGACGGAGCCATGGCAGGGACAGGGGCTCTCACAAGTGCAGCTCTCCTACAGGTAAGCACCAGCAGTCATTGCTTCAAAGCAACAACAAGGGAGCCTTTTTTGAAAGCACAGTTAGGTGTTTGCATTTACATTTTCTGTAGTAATTAGTAATTAGAGTCCCTCCTCCAAGAAAGGAGGCATGTGAGAATAAGTGTTTTCTCAGCTTGAGGAGGCTCTTGTCCACTTGTTTTCCATCCCAGGTGATTAAGGCCACCAGAGGACACAGCAACAAGTCCATCTCTGGGGAAGATCTAGGGGGCAAAGTCTACTGGTTCTAATCAATGCAGACTGAGGCACAAGGAGTGTCTTGGGGATTGCAATAGATAGAGCCTGGATACCTAACAATTTTGGTAACACACATTTAGAACAGTGTTTCTGTTGGATACAAGCCCTATAGCTCTGTTTCCAGCCCCCTGTCTAGTTTCTGCAATCAACACTGAAAGTCCTTTTCAGGACCAGTTAAGAGTGTCTGCATTTCTGGCTGTTAATCAAGCTCAGAGTCTGAAGAAGTCTAAAACAGCACTTAGATTATACAGAAAGACATCTAAAGAGTATGAAAAAAGAAGTTAAGTAAGAACTGATTACCTCAATGCAAGGTTACGTTTTACTTAATAAAACACTGCAGATTTGTCAGACTGAATGTCAAGAAGAAGGAAGGTATGTCTGAGGCACCTGGAGGGAGAATGAGTAATCCTCACTCAGTGCTGGAATTAATACTCCAGTTCCAGAGAATGAGAAATTTTCCCATGACCACAGATTTCACAGCTCTTTCTGAAAGTCTGTTTTCTGTTGAGAAATCAGTATTTACTTTTAGAAGTGAAAGGGGCATACCAAGTCTCCTATGCTGCTTCCCACTCACTAACCAGGAAGCCAGTAAACTATGCCATTTTCTATTAGAACAATGCCAGTAGAGATATTGTTTAATTACAGACGCTTTCACCTTTTTCTACAAGTAGAGAATCCATTTGGCTCTTTGCAAACCGTGCACCATAATGCTGTGTACTCATGAGTGTGACAGGCACCTGCCTGCTAACCACTGCCCTTGCAGGGAGCAGCTTTCAATTCACGGCTTGAACAGCCTCAGTGCAGCACCCGAGTAGCAAGGACACTGCACTAGTAACTGCAGGCTTTGACCACGTACACGTGTATGAAACAAACCCATTCATCACCAATGGAAAATGTTCAAAGTTTAAAAAAATTCAGCTAATTACTGAAAAAAAAGTAAGCAGCAGTTGAATGATACTATAGAACTTCCTAAGCAGCATATATTAAAAATTAAATCACATTCTGGAATTACATGACAGGGGAAGGCAGGAATAAAGCTCTGAAATTCCCTGCTAAGTGCTGAGGGGAACTAGTACTACCTGGGCTGCCCCAAAACTGCCACAGCCCCAGGAAGACTTTTGTGCTCCACAGAAGTTCCAGGGGAACTGCTGTGGGCACAGATGGTGACTGTCTCTCTGCAGCCAGAGCACCTGAAAGGACTCTGCACCAGAGCTGGGAAGGGGCTAGTGACCGAGAACTGGCCCCAGCCCCTCAGCTCATCAGTGATGCACAGGGCACTGGACACACAGCCAGGCTCCCTCCTGTCCTTGGAGTGTCCCCTGTCTTGTGGTGGCTTTGCAAGCTGCGCTCTAGAGTTCAGCAGCCCAACAGAAAAATGCTATGAGTAAAAACACGGTTAGTCCAAAAGAGGTAAGAATGCACTTTGGGTTTTGTCTATAGCCATACTGAAATCACTTTCAATATCAATTACCATTAATGTGAACAGAATGTGACCCTTATTTTGTCCTAGATAACATTATTAAATATCCATTTTTGCTTCTTATGACACATCCATGTCAATAAATAAGAACCTACTAGCAAACCAGACTATACTGGTATATCCTGTAAAGAACTATTTTATCTTCCACTCCCATCATTACCTACAGTTCAGCTTTCTGATTTTAGGCCTTACAATGCAATTTAATTCTAAAGCCAAAGGAACAGGAAGCAATTTCACTAATGCTTAACAGTGGCCTTCAGTTCATCTATCCAGGTTCCTGTATCTCATCTCCGCATTATTTTAACGTGAACAAGGGCATCCACATTTGTAGAAAGCTTATGATTCATTTTTACTTCAGTGAAAACAGAAGGAGATCCACTGTGCTGTTTCTGAACAGCCTG